GGAATTCAGTCAATAAAAAAACCTATTTAAAAAAATGGCTCCTCAAACCGGTGAATTTACCATAAAATAAAAGGAAACCAACATTTCGAGGGAAGAAGATCCTCTTCCTCAGTGTTATCTTCAAAGTTGGGGGAAAAAAATGTGTTCCAACCTTGGAATGCTCCTTTCTTCATGTTTTTTTTTCATATTTTTTATTTTACTTTTTCCCCTCGAGGGCTTCACGGTCTTCACCTGATAAGATAATAAGCGAATGCGGAAAAACAAAGCCTATCCGCGCCCGTCGGCCCACCGGCAGACGGATCCACGGCGCGATCGGTTGTCGGCGCGATCGGTTGCCGGCGCGATCGGTCGCGATGAGTCACTTCGTCTCGCCTGTAGACTGTATTTGTAGATGCTTTTATGTTCACGAGCGACGTGAGCTTTTCTTCACCCGCCTCTTCTTCCTTTTCAATCGTGAAGATGCAAGTGGCGACTGAAGATGAACTGGGGATTATCCCTCCCTCATCCTCCTCCAGTCAGACCCACGTGATTCTCAAGAAATTCAGTTTGGAAAAGGAAATTCCCACGAGGAATTATGCTGTTTCGACAGTGGGATTTTGAATGGACTTTGTTATATTCTCGCTTCGCCCGAGTTTGCTATGACGGCGCGTGCCATTTCGACTGAGGTGAAATTGCACGCGCCTTATGGGCTCCACGCCGGGACCTCGCGCCTTTCATCGCCATAACCGAGGTTTCGTTATAACCGAGGTTTCGTTATAACCGAGGTTTCGTTATAACCGAGTTCGACTGTAGATTGGGTCGTGGGTAAAAGGAAGCTGAGGAACCTGCGTGGTTTTTTGGTCGTGAGGCGTAAGAGCAGAATATAAATAAGTTGCCAAGTTGCCTTCCCAAATCTTCTTGAAAGAAGAGAATGAACTACACAAATGTGTAGCATTTTGTGTTGCATTAGCTACACAAATTTTCAGGCAGGGAAAAAAAATATTCACAGGGAACTGAAAATCCTCACATAGACAAAGTCAACAGAGTCCTTAGAAAAAAAAAATTCGTATCGATTTCTTCATCCATCCACGTAAACACAACTTTTCGAAGAAAAAATAAATAAATAAATAATAAAAATGAGTTGCAGGCGAAAGAAGTTTTCATCACTGATTACTCGGGAAAAGAAACCTTGGCAATCCTAGCTGGGATTTTTCATTTGAATAGGAATTTTGCCCTATTAAGACTTCCAAGGCGAGGCAAACATTCGTTCACAGCGTTCATAGTGTTCACAGCGTTCATAGTGTTCATAGTGTTCACAGCGTTCATAGTGTTCATAGTGTTCACAGCGTTCATAGTGTTCATAGTGTTCACAGCGTTCATAGTGTTCATAGTGTTCATTGGAATTCCTCTAACTCTACCCGCCATCCGCTTAGCTCAACTGCGAGTGCAGAGTAACCGCTGCATTTTTTCCCGAGTGAATATGCAAGGTCGGCCTTCACGACTTGGGTTCTTTAGATTTCCCTTTAAATTTCCCTTTAAATTTCGGGATGGAAGGACTTATTGCTTGGGGGTCTCCCTTTCACCGTGACGGAAGGAAAAGCATTTTTTTTTTTTGCTCGGTTTCAGAACCGGGGTCCACCGTCGCGGGAGATTCCGGCCCTCACTCCCCCGCGATGACGTCACAAGGATGTGAAAAAAAAAAAAATTGCAATCGCACTTTCGCATGCCGTCAGCGTTGCATCGACGATTAACCGATGATATCTTTTGGCAGGATCGTCGATCGAATGCTGCAATCTGCATCGGCGGGATTGGAAAAAAAGATGAACTGATAACTGATTTTATTTATTTATTTTTTTTTCTTCACATTTTGCCGTTTTGTCGGCATTAACAATCGCGATTTCTCGAATCCCGAAAGAGATAATTTTAATACGTGCTCACGATCAGATTCCTTGCGGAGAGAAAAATGTCTCGCCTCGCAAGCGAATGAGAAAAAAAAAGAGTATTTATTTTAAAAAATTTTTATTTATAAAAATGCAAAATACAAGAGTCGAAAATGTGCTGCAGGAATAGGCCCTCAACTGAAAAAAAAAAAGTTTGGGTACCACTGACCTTATATGGTAAGGGGACTCGCCGAATCCAATAACAATACCCGAACGCAAAAGTCATTTAAGCAAAAAACATGATTTATTTTGAGGACTGACTTGGCCTCATAAACAATTTTTATTATTATCTTTATTTCTCGATGGCATTGTGTCAGCGATGACTTTCCCTGGGAGCTTCACTGAACCCCGCCCCGCCCCGCCCTGCCCCGCCTCCCTTTGACTTTGGCAACATGGTGTGCGAGGCGGGAAATTTCGACGGAAGCAAAAAAAAAATTATTGTAAAATATCCGTTATTTCTATTCGTCCGCGGAATTTTATCAGTACCGCCGTACCTTTGTACCACCATCGAAGAATAACAAATTTCCGGAAATTTCCAGGTTGATGAATTTTCGAACGGGGAAACCGACCAGTCACCCATACAAAAAAAAATCGCGGAAAAGTTCCATAGTTGGGAATTTCCAGGAGACAATTTTCTTCATTATGCCCTTAATCGGCTTCTTTTTTTTCCTAACGGCTTCTCCGTTCTCTCCGGCGGAAAAGCGCCACGCCGTTGGAACCACTCGGAGATTCCCAATGGCTTACAATACGCGGCTGATGACGATGGCTGATGACGATGGCTGATGACGATGGCTGATGACGATGACTGATGAGTGGAACCTGGCGGAAAACAGCCACCGGTTGAGATATTCAGGTCTCACGGGTGAGAGCTCACGGGTGAGAGCTCACTTGTCCCGTGAAGGGTTTCTTGCGCTGTCGATCCTTTCCTCGCTTGACCTTGAGGACCTTGAGGACCTTGAGGACCTTGATGACCGAGTGGCCTTGCGTCACGCCCGACGACGTTTCTTCGGCCCATTTCCCCAATTCCGCACGAAATTCGACGGGACTCTGAATTTGCTATTTCTATTTTTTTTCCGGATGCCCTGCTCATTTCCGTCAGGGAAACAGATTCCATGCCAAAAAAAAAAAATTGGGGAAAAAAAGCTTATAATGAAGGAAATTGTCCTCTGCACACCCAAGACCCAATATAGGATCCCTGCCAAAATTGGCATCAACGAATAAAGGAGTTCATTCACTCATCGATTGCTCTCTCGCGATTCGATGCAACTTGGGGCATCGAGGAATTCAAATCCTGAAAGCCCGTTGGGCTCGGGGGGAAATCGCGGTGGACCGTCGGTGGGCCATCACGGTGGACCCGGATCCGACCCGGCTGCAGGTCCATCACGCGGAAACCGAACGAACGAAACTTCGGGGAAGAAACGAGGAGAAACGAGGAGGAAATGAACTCGACGGTTCGAAAGACGCGGCGGAACTGAGCGGTGCTGGGGAGGAGGACCGCGGAGATGCCTCAGCGACCTCCATCCCGGCGGGACGGAGAGACGCCTGCGTTCTGTTAGTCGCGATTTCCATGGGGAGATGGAGCTAGTGTGTATTCATAAATTAATATTTTACTTCGAAATGCTACTTCCCGTGTGCAGCATTTCAGACCTCTTCATATTCTGTGGTGACTGTGCATGGCAAGTGGGTGCGATTGGCTTCCAAGAATAAAAAAAAAATAACTGGAAGAAAACCTTGCACAGAACACGAAGAATCGAGTAGCACGCCGCCGGAAAGCAAGCAAACCGCAAGAATCGCCTTGTCCTCGAGACCAATTATAATCACGGTATATAACATTCCCATCATAAATAAAGAGATGGTCTGTCGACTGAGCCTGCCGCTTGTGGCATCCGTGTTCGCCTGCCAGGCGGGTCCCGCCCTCGGCTGCTCCCGCACGTGAGTCATCCGTTCCTCGCTCCTCCCGTCGCATCTCGGGCGTCTCGTCCGGTTATTGCAGGTCCTCTCCCTCATTTATTCATGTTATTGTCTCCAGGCACGTCTGGCGAGCGCTGGTGGTCGAGGGCTTGGTTTATTCTTGTTTTATTTATTTATTTATTTATGCATGCGAATGGTTCTGTCTCGTGGATGGGCGTCGCATTGATCTCGAATGCCTATTAATTCGCGCTAAATATGAGGGAGATGATTAATTCGGTTTCGTGATTGAAACTTTATTTGAGAACGGACGCTGCAAAAATTATTTCATGGAGTTGCGATGTCTGTTTATTTGTTTTATTTATTTATCTGGTCAATGAGTCGAATTCATTAGGCCATCCCGAGAGGAAATGAGGATCGCGAAGCCCGTCATCGTATCAAAAGCGACGACGCGAGGAAGTGTAACAATTGTTCGGGATTGCAAGCTTTAAGACCGACTGAAATTCGCATCTTTGCGACTCAAATCCCTTGTTTTCCGCGATTCGAAGGCATGCCTGGGTAGTATGAACAAGGAGAGTCAGAGGGTAGTCAGATGGTAGTCAGGGTAGTCAGTGGGTAGTCAAAAACTCACAAACCGCGTTTCGCTTTTTGCACGGCCCAGAATTTTGGAGGCGGGGAATCTAGGGGCGAAGTCAGGTCATCTGGGAGACGGAGCATCTCGGCGCCCAGCCTATTTTTAGGCTGTTGTTTATTTACTTAAATAACCCGAGGCGGAGGAGTTCCCGTTCTCCCGGGGGGGGTCCAGGGACGAGGATCAAGCCTGGTTTTCGCAGGATTTCTACGGAAAACGCCTCTGCCTCAAATGTCGAGTGGAGGGGGGAGGGGCGAGGGGCGCCGCGATAGGAGATAAGGACATCCCAAGTGCAAACTGTGTGTCATCAGTCACCCCATTTCCCCGTTGTAGAGTGGGTCTTGGTGACGTCATTGTGTCGTGTTTGCATTCCTCGAAGGTTACCATCCGCCGGATCTCGTCCCGTTTCAGACTCGGTTGCGCCTTGGTCGTGAGTGTTTCATCATGGGGAATGCGACGTGATTCGCCTTGAGAATTTCCGCCAGGTGTTCGTTATTGCCGATAGGCCGAAAGCAGCGCGAGAAAGCTGCCGGGCGCCAGCGATGGACTTTGGTGAGATGAGTGGAAGAGCGAACGGGGGCCCGGAGGCCTGGAACGCTGCGAGCTCCCCTGGCGGCGGCCGGGAACACCAGGGAGAGACTCGGGTCCGGAGCCCCGCGGCTGGGTCAGTCATGCGGGGGGAGCCGAGGGGGAAGGACTTGGAGGAGGAGGACGACGAGGACGAGTGGATGCCGGGTGCGGGAGCGGTGCGGTGCGCGCTGCTGTGGGGCGGAGTGTTCGGGTGCGGGGGGGTGATGCTCATGGCGGTGGGGATCAGCGTGAAGAGATACGTGGTGTTTGCGTATGTCGGGTCCACGCTCATGGTCATCGGCGTGGGGTTGATCGTGTTTGGATGGTACTTCTTTGCGGGACGGTCTGGCGCCTCCGACCCCGGAAAGGTACGTTCGCGACTCGCTATTCATTGGGGACATCGTTCAAAATTGCGTTACTTGGATAATGCACCTCTGGATGTGCATTACATTGTTCTTTCGGTGGCCTGATGTAATTTTTACTCGTCGAGGAAGCATTTTCAGATGCTGGAATGGAATTTGTCTCCAAACTCGTTTTGGAAGCATTTCTTATGGCATAGCGTAGCACAGAGGGAAAAGTTTTTCATGTCATGTCTGTTTCAGCACTATTCTTTTTCTTTTTGTTTATTTCACCCAATCGCTGTTTTTTTCTGACCACCTGTAACTGAGTATCAATGAAGATAGAATACAGCCAATAAGCCTATGGCCATCTGACAGCAGGAGTTTCTTCCCTTCTCCGCAAGATGGCAGGGTAACGTACCCCCCCCCCCCTCCCCCCGTCCCATTCATGGAGCAGCCAGTCCTCGACCGACCTTCACCAGGTCCGGGCAGGCTCACCAAACGCGCGGAATCGTGGAGGCATTCGTGCTGGCGTATTTTTTGTTTTTTCCCCCTTGGATTCAAGACAATAGGACAAGGGTCGACGTTTCGAGGAAGACTTCCGAGGAACGATCGCGTACCCTGCAGCATACAAATCCATTGTTTCCCCGTCGACGTAACGCGATTATGCCGTCGACGAAGTAATGCGAAGCGACGAGCGCACGTCAAGTAGATGTGGAAAGCGACGTCCTTGTCCACCGCGCATGCATAAAATATGCGAAAACCAAAGTGTAAAGTAGATTACGTGCTCGCCGTCGATAGCCTTTGTTTCATGCATTCCTCGGCCCGTTTTTTTCGTTATTTTTTTTTACAATCAAGTTATTCATCATATTATCGTTATTTGATTATTTCTTGGTTTCAGGGGCCGGTGAGCGTGTACGTGATCCCGACCCGAGAGGGAACCGCCAGCGGGGACAACGCAGACGCCCGCAAGGCCCCCACCCCACCCCGCCCCGCCCACCGAGGACACCCGCCTCCACGCCGGAAGCACAGTGACCACACGGACGTGGCGCCTTGTGAGAACGAGCTCTACCTGCTTCGCCTGTGAACGTGTTCGTCGTGATTAAACGACCGTCTCCGAAGGGCGTGGCTCCGTTCATGCTGATAAAGGTTTTACAGAAATTCTGATAAGAAGTACTGGCAAGTACCGACAGCGTGCGTTTCGGGAGGATGTCGGCCCGAACGCATCCGGAATGTACCACGCCCAGTACTAAAGAGCACTTTTCAGTACTTGGCATGGTCGCCCCAGATATCCGATCCAACTTGCAGTTATTGCACGCTGTCCCTTAGTCATATCGTTGTTGCAGATTCTCATGCAAATTATAGAAAAAAAAATTAGCCGTTTTCGCTCTCAGTTCGATGCGGAGTTTTGCCAGTGCCAGTTTTATTTTTTTTTTATTATATAGAGTTATATAGTTTTATTAGAGTTTTTATTATAAGTTCCTGGTATCGTTCGACTCGTGCTATCTGAGAACTGGAACGATTTGTGACTCGGATAAGAATATATATTTATTGCGTTTTGGATTGCTTATCATCAATGGAATTTTGTCTCATAAAACCATTGATTGTCAAAAGAGCATTTTGGCAATCAAAATCATCGGCGATTTTCAAACTCAGTTCCTTCTTTCGTTCAGATCCGAATCACTTCGTCTGCGCGATCGAAAGTTTCTGATTGATGTCTCTTTGCGAGAGGATTGCGGGATCTCGGCGAGGACTTCTGGGGAACCTCGAAGATCCTAAGAAAAAAAAAATTGCCGACCGTTCGGCAGATCACGAATTCGCAATGGTCGTCATCTACGATAATTTGCATCAGATGGGCTATCTTTCCAGAAGAGCCATCTAGAAATAACCGCACGAATCACTCAACCGGAGTCAATGTGGGAGGCTTTGCGACTGTCCTCCGGGCATCCAGCGTCAGTTCTGAGTTCTGTTGTGCCGGATCCGGACTGGTTGGTTAGCCACGGCCGGATCCTCACCTTCCATTCTTCCCAACTGAGGAGCATCTTGATCTCGGCGGGGTTCCAGTTCAGCAGGGCGTTGACGGTGTCGTTGAGCTTCCCGCCGAGTCGCGATTCGCCTCCGAGCGCCGCGAAGCACTTGACGATCGGAACCACCAGCGAAAAAAGGATGCAGACCAGGATCGGGACGAGAAAGAGGCGGAACAGCAGCACGACGAACCAGACGGACTTCTTGAGCAAGCCCCGGCGGCGCGACGGGAAGTCCCTGAACCTCGGCCGGGTCTCGATGTTGATCCCGACGTCGATGATCGCCCAGACGACCACGAGGGCCACGCACCTCGCGTGGAAACTCAAGGGGAACACGGAGAGGATCACGTACACAGCTTCCGCCGCCTGATAAGATACGCCGATCTGGATCACGCGATATCCCAGCATCCCATCGACGAAACGGACTCTTCTCCCGATCGACAAAATAGAGGCTGAAACTTTGGTGACAGATGATCGTCTCGATCTCTCGAGCCGACCTTCCTCGTCACGGAGAGCCTCGTCCGGCTTCGACGTTCCCGGACTCCAAACGACGAGCGGGAGAAGCTCGGCCAAGATGACACAGAAGAGAAGAATCCTGACCCCCAAGAGCAGCGCCACGGTCTTCCCGGCCAGGGCGGCCCCTTCCCCCCAGCCCCAAGTCACCGTCACCGCGTAGAACACCGTCAAGGAGCAATAGACCGCCAAGGAGCAGGCGACGTAGTTGACGAACCGCTCCGCGACCCACGCCCGGATCCCCTCCCGGTCGAAGCAGACCCCATCGCACCGCAACAGCACCCGGTTCACGAAGAAGCACGGATCCCGAGAGAGCAGGAACTCCAGCGCCAGCGTGGCCATGATCCCCGCCGCCAGCATGGCGAGCAAGGTCAACTTTCCGGCTTTAGGAACCACCAGCATGTCGTTCGGCATGGAAGCAATGCACCGATACGATGCGATGATATGCCGTCGCCGTCTGACTCGAGACTGACTTTTCGCACTTTATCATGTCGCATGGACGAGCAAAACAAGCTTATCGGACCCTAACCTCCCATGGTGCCATGGCGTGACATTTCCTTATTTGGAATCGAACCCGGTCGGTAGAGATGAGGTCATCCTTCCGGTGGAACGAGCACGATAAGGGAAGCTTGGCTGCGTCGAGTCCAAAGTTATCGGCGGTAGAGAGTTAGACTTATCTGAGACGTTAAATAAAAGTCAGTTTTGGTAGAATTCCGCTAGAATCCTCCGGATGATGGGGGATTTAAGGAGTATTCAATCTCTACGTGGGAAAGTGGGGGGGGAAATACGGCATCTTAAACGAATCGAGGGTGATGAGGAATCCATGCAAATTTTCCACGGGTTGCGAAATGATTCTGCGCTGAAATAAATGCAAGCATGGTGTCCTTGTGAAGGGTTCGGCCGCTCCGAATATTTTTTTTCTTCTTCCGCGTGCTTGGCCCACATTGCACAGATCCGCCAGCTCGCAGAATGGAGACCAATTTTTTAAGGATTAAAATTTCGCGAAGGGAAGTGTTTTTAGCGTAAATCTCGCACGAATGGGGATACCGTTACCACATTGAACGGATAAGAGTCTGGCCAAAGTGAAGAATTTGGAAAAGTTCCTCTGGAATTAAACAGATGGGGGACAAAGCTCGATACACTCTCGCGAGAGAATTCGGCGAGGCTCAGCAAGCAGCTCAGCTAGAAGTGGAGGAAAATTGGCTTCAGTTCGCAGACGGAAGAAATTAGAGATCTTTTGGTCACACACTTTTTTGTCAAGTGGGTATTTGTGGCTTCCCTTAGTCCCGACTTTTTTTCTTGGCGATGAGTATACAGCCGAAAGTACAAAATATCCAGTTCGATTGATGCGCAGCGTAATTACTCTTCGGTGCCGCATTCCGTCGCTGGCGGGACGGTCTGCCCCGTCCGGATGTCGGCGGGGAATGTCGGCCGACGGGAGGACGTCCGGCCGCGAACGCTTTCGGCAGCTCCCTCGGACGCGGCTTCGCGCGAACGACCAGTTTCCTGAAAACGGACGCATCGCCGATCCACCGGACGTCCATCCGACTGGACCCTCGCGAAACCGGAGCATCTCTTTCAAAGGAGGCCGACCCTCAGCACAGACCCAGCCGCCCCGTCCTCCACAGTTCTCCAAGTTTTTGGGATCCTCTCCACTCCCGCGGCACATCCTTCCCGGTGAATGAGCGAGTTCAATTCAAATGGAAATTCGATGGAAATCCCGGCTCAGCTCCTCCCAACTCTATCGTAACGCGGAAAATCATAAATCGAATTTACAATATTACGACTCTGTCCAATTGCGATCGGAGCGAGACCCCCTCCCCACTCGGATCTTCCCGTGGGAATAAATCGATGTGCACCAGACACTCCAACTGCGTATTTGCATGGAAATCCAAGGCTTTCTGCTCTGGCTGGAGTCGAGATCCAGCGTGGCAATGGAACGGGGACGAAGACTTCCCTGTCTGTTGAATGTAACCGCACCGTGTCACTTCATCGACGTCGATGCACGAACCCGCGACCACCGCCGCGCGACCATCACCGCCATCTAGCCCACAACCGCGGAACTCGAGCTCGAGACGGCGACGAAGAGAGTGGCGCCTCGATTCAGTTCCCTCCGGCTCGCGGCGACGGCCGGTCACGCCGCAGTGCTCGCCCGCCGCGTTTTCTGATTTTGCGTGTGCGCAATCCGCGTGAGTCGGCGACTCCGATCGTCTTTAGTTAATTTATCAATAGGTACGAACATGCCGCGGTTTTCCTCATCATCGGAATTTCCGCGAAGGAACAGACCCGAACGAAAAGCAGGGGAGGGGCTGTTCGCAACGTTCCTGCTTCGCCATTCAGGGACTGCTAACTGGTCAACGAAGTCGTCGGGATGCTATGAGGAGGATTTTTTTTTTTTTCGCAACTCAGGATTGCCGAAGTTTAAAGCGTTGGCCGCCAAGACGTTTTGGGCCGACTTTTCTCTCCAGTCCAAAAGCTTTTTTTTTTTAATATTCTTGATATGTTGTATATGCAACATAATAATTTCCATCGCGAATGGAAAACATCGTACCTTTACCCGAATCCAATCATCTCTGCATGATAACATAAGCCAATAACATAATTCATATGGAATTTCAAGTTTTCTAGGGGAAATATCCATCATTCATATCGAATAAGCAGAACTCAGGGCTTCTAATTTGCAGCCGTAAAAATAAATGTATTCTCAAGTATATATATTTTTAATATTCGTAGAAATCAAATTTGATTGCCACCGAGCTGCCTTCAGAAAATTTCGAGCATCTCACCAAAGTTTTGAAAAATTTGAAAATTCATTTTCATTTTATATTTTTTTCTTTCGAAACCGATGCCGTTCGCGCTTTGAGACTGAACATCGATGAAATCCGGTGGGAAAAGGCTGTCCGGATTCCTCATCGCGTTGAGTTTTATGACGTTTTGACTTATTCCGTGGGGGGAAATAAATGAGGAAAGTGGCAGCCACTTTTGCTCCATCTGGCGTCGTTTGCCGGAAGCGTGGTTCTTCGAATGACGTGGATGGCACTCCTGCAAAAACCGTCATGCTATTGTCCTGTGTTTTAGGCATGCATGGTTCAAAGAAACAAAGAAGTACCTAAATTAGGCCAATTTTGCTTAATGCAGCACAGATGCGGATAAATATAGAAAAAAACCGCTGCCACCAATCAGTGATGGTGTGGGTATAGTACTTGAAAAAGTTGCTACTACTTCATCAGAGGCAACGCATCATCACAAATGTAGAAATATCAACGGGGCCTCAAAAAGTTGTTGGAATGGAGTGGTGCGAGAATATTGGATCTGCTGATGAGGAACCGTGGCCCAAAACTGCTCTGAAGAATCAGGTAATAGATCTTGGAAATCGGCTAATTATGATTACTAATAAGCTCAAGGGAATAATAAAAATTTTACTTATTAACGGTAATAGCAATAACAAAGATTAAAGCAATAAATATAGCAATGACTAGGGCTTGGTGTTAGGCCTAAGGGCTCAATGGCAGTTGATGTATTGGTGAAGGTGAACGAATTCAGTTCAACAGGAGTCCAAATTCTCAACAGGAGTCCAAATTCTCAACAGGAGTCCAAATTCTGAGTGTAAAAGAGATGATTCGAGGAACAGCCATCACACTGGCTCCAATTTTTTTCCCCTGAACCTTTGAATTTCGTTAATGTGATCACGGTTACCAAGTAATCTAAGGATATAGTTAAATAAGCAAGTGCTCAGGCCTGGTGAGCGAGATACGTTAACTCACTCTTAAACTAAAACGCCCGAAGAACAGATGCTGGCACATCGAGGAAGACGAGGCGAGCCAGTGCGATGAGCCAGTCAACGAGAATGTTCAAGCTGGAAGCAGGTGAGGGTGACTGGTGCTCACGTTGCGGAAGATGAAAAGTTTTTTTTTTTTTCCCACAACAATTTTACGTTAGATGATGGAACATTCTAGTCCTTCTGGTACTGCTAGGGAGCGGGTTAGTTCCTCGAATGTGAATTGTTGAATATTGTTCGAGATCATTTCGTGGAAAGCTATCCATACTTGCAAATCCTAATTCCTCACCTTCTCGTCCTGCTGAAATGGGACAGCGAGATCGCCTGGGAAAAGAATCCACGCGGACTATGGAAATCCTGTCGATCCTGGCGTCTTCAGCCTCTCGCTCATTCATTCCAATTCCTGCAGATAAAAAATCGCTCGTATGCGATTGGCGCCACGACGAGCAAATCCGGAGTTCTCGCTTTCGTATGTGCAAATTATAGTGCATAGTGCCTGCCTGGCACTATGCTCTTTGGCACCAATATCGACCTCTTCCTTCTCAGAAGTTTCCACTTATGACTTCCGGGTTGTTACTGCCCAGGGAATAGTAGGTAAATACCCAAATCTTGACGATACTTATCCAAAATGGCACCAACTTTGGGCGAGCTGTTCCGATCGCATTTTCTTCAAATTGGGGGATTCAGCTTGACGCTCCCTCTTTGTGGCTTTCTGAGGCTGCCCTCACTTTCTGCTCCAGGCATTATGAGCCTGAGAGCGACTTATAGCGCTTGGCCTCAATCTCCAGAGGCTAGTTGATACATGATTTGGTTGCAACGTACGATGCAGTAGCTTTCAGCAAGAAATATCTGGCAAAAATGCACTCACGCGAGGAGGAGAGGGCTCATTTCTATTATCTCCAAGGAGTTCGTGCTGAATCTTGGGCGATTCCTGCAGGAAGACTTGCAAAAGCGGCAAGTCATTCGGCATGACTCTTCTGCAGAAGTCTCGTTCGTTCGAGAAATGGCGGCTTGTTGCTGTCAAGGTTTCAAGGTGTCAAGGTTTCGTCTCAGGTTTCGAAGAGATGAATTTTCAATGCGAAAATGCCAAGAAGTTGAAGAGAAAGGGTGGAAAGAGTTTCTGTCGAAGTGCTGTCCGGATGAATGTTTTTTTACCACAATTATGATACAAACATGGTACTTCCCAGAAATGACATCTTTAATAAGAATTGGAAGAGAAATTTCTTGACTTTTCAAGTTTTAAACTGTCTCGTGCGTTCAAGTCAGACATACGAATAGTGAACCTGTCTCCAAAAGTGGGAGTTTTGGAAGAAAACCTATGACTTGAGCAAAATCTCTGGTGAACTGGGTGGAAGATTGGGTCCGCTTTGGGCGTTTCCATCGTCGCGTTCCTGGAGTTACTGGAAAGGTTCCTAGCAACTCTGGCTTTGGACGAAGGTGCATAAATCGCATTTCAGGAACCATCGCACTCACATACGCACGCATTTACGCATTTCCGGAAAAAAATTGCAAATGAAAAATAAATCCCTGGAAGGGTAACTTGATGCAGAACATGTAGTAATGAGAAACTTGTAAGATATATCGGTATATGAGTCTTTCATTGTAGCTACTGTATTTCCAGAAACATTTGAATACCATGTAAAAATTATTTTTCAAGTGTTATATCAATATTATTCAGTGAAAAAATCAGCGATTGATGTAGAAAAAAAAGCAAAACCGGCTGGAGCTGGAGAAATTATTGTCAACAGGAAACCACTTATGAAATTGCTGCATTAGTATTACTGACATAAATTTGGGCATACATTTTTACGGTGCCAGGATATAATAATGTTACACATGAAGTTGCTTCGGTTTAATTTTTTATGTTAATTGCATTCTATTTAAGTCAGGGCATTAAATTTGATCATTTGAAAAAACACACACACTGCGTTTCCTCGGGAGTTTATATCCTTCCTTGATTGACAGGACACTTAAAATGTTAACCTCAATCATACATGAAATTCTGCTTCGGGAAATATTTTCCAATGAAACTCTGAACTCAATTTCAACAAGGATTCATTCAACTTTTATTTTAAATTAAATGAAATTAAAACTTTTTCCAAGTTATGCAGGACTGCATAAATGCACTCACACTCCCATAGGCGTTTTCAAACATAAAACAGAGTAAAAAAAAAAATTAAAAGTCTTCGGAATATCCAGGCTACCAATATATTTTTGGAAATAATATTTTCGAATATGGTCCACGTGACATGACAAAAATTATATAACAGCTAACGAATAATTGATTTGATTCAGAGCGCATTGAAATAAGCAACGTGGTGCTAATTGAGATGTGAATAATATTTATTTTTTTTTGGTCAGCTCTAAATTCCACCATATGATATCAGGACATCTGCCACATCGTAATGCCTATTATACAGAGCAATGTCCAAAGGGCTATTGCCGTCAGCCGACATCATGTTTACATCAACCCCTTTCTGAAGGAGTGCCTTAACAACTGACAGTTTTCCTTCGGTGACAGCCGCGATGAATGCAGCTGCCAGTTCCTTCTTTTCCGCGTTGGGATCAACTCCTGAAGGCAGGAGCTCCAAGATGTTTTGTGTAGCGCCGCACTTCAGAAGCGTCTTGATTTTTTCACGATTCCCATCATGGACTGCATATTGAAGGGGAGTCCACCCTTTTGAATCCTTCTTGTTGATGTTTTTCAGTCCAATACAATCAAAGGCCAGACCGCCACGTTGCTTCAGCAAACTGGTTATTTCCTCCTGTCCATTATTTTCAGCAACATCGATGGCTGTTTGCTTGCCAAAGGTTGCCAGATTAATGTCTGCTCCTCTTTCCAGCAAAAGGGTCACTGTACTCCGATGCCCTCTGATTGATGCTATGTGAATTGCAGCCCAGCCATTTACTGTCTCTTTCTGCTGGTTGATTTTTGCCCCAGCCTTCAACAGCTCAGCAATTACCTCATCTCTTCCATTGTAAGCAGCTTCATGAAGAGCCGTACTGCCATGGTGGTTAAGGACATGAACATTAGCACCACAACCAATCAAGTTTTTCACATCCGTTATACTTCCATCGCGAGCTGCTTTATGGAGCTTTGTCAGACCATCGCTATCACGCAGATCCACTGTCTCAGGACGGAGACAAATGCCACTTTTTCCTCCTTGGGACCGAAGAAAGGCTTCAACAGAAGTTTTTCCTTCCTTAACCGCGATATCCAAAGCAGTCTTGCCATCATTTGTGACTGAATTGACATCAACTCCCTTCTGCAATAATATTCTCAGTATTGGCACTGGATTGTTCGCTAAACAACTTATATGAATGGCTGCCCAACCATCAGCTCTTTTTGCATTTAAATCAATTCCTGTATCAATAAGAGCGGCAACAACATCTCTTCTTCCAAAATATGCAGCTTCATGCAATGCATTGCTGCCATTATTACTGAATGCACCTACTTCAACGCCACACGATACCAGCTCAAGCACTCTGCTAAGGTCGCCTCTTTGTGCAGCAACTTGTAGCAATGTAAAACCTTCCTCATTTTTCTCATTGATGTTAACAATTTCAAAACACATTGAGGATTTTCCTCCATGTAACTTCAGCAGATTGGATGTCGAATTTTGTTTGTTCTCAATTGCCATATCCAATGCGGTCATTCCAAACTTGTCTTTCGCATTCACTTCAGCTCCATGTCGTAAAAGATGTATCACGATGGCATTGTTCCCAATAACGGCAGCAAAATGCAGAGCATTAACCCCACTTTCGGTAGCACTGTGAATTTGTATATTTGCACTTGCTGTCAGTTGTTCAACAACGTTGACATGATTCCCAATGACAGCTAAGTGGAGTGGAGTGAGACCAAATGGTGCTTTGGCATTGACATCAGCTTCTTTGAGTAAAATGGATGCAGCATTCTTCCTACCATACCAGGCAGCATAATGTAATGCTCTCAAACCAAGATCCGATTGCTCTTCCAAATTGGCTTCCAACAGCATAAGTTTTGCCACAATTTTTGCCTGATCAGTACCAGCAGCTAAATGCAGAGGAGTCAAACCGCCCTCTGCTTTGGCCTCGATGTCTATGTTAGAGTGTAGGAGAAAATGTGAAATGATTCGATCATGCTTGAAGGATATCGCCAAGTGAAGTGGAGTCCATTTTTCAGCAGATATGGAATTGACCATTTGTGATGAATACATTGACATCCTGCATAGGAATGACTGTACAACTTGAGAATGTCCATTTGCTGCAGCCATGTGCAATGCTGTAAATCCACCAATACTCTTGGACATCATGTTGACGTTGCCTTGAGTCAAAAGTATGTCCACAATCTCTTTATTGCCTGATGTGGCAGCTAAATGGAGCGCAGTTAAATCATCTGATGCTTTTGCATTGACGTTTACTCTTGGATTTTGGAGTAATAATTTCAATATTTCTTTATTTTCAGTAGCCACAGCATGATGGAGTGGAGTGAAAGATTTCCTATCTGGTGCATTGACATTCACACCATCATTATCAGCCAAGATGCTGGTCGCAGAAAAATGCCCAGCCAAAACACTCAAGTGCAAAGCTGTAAAATTTTCCTTCGAGACTGCATTTTCATCTATATCCTTTAAAGTCAAGAGGTATTGTAAAATATCTCCATTGCCATAAAGAGCTGCGATGTGCAAAGGAGTTAGATCATCTCTGGTCTTGGAGTTCACATCAGCACCCAATGAAAACAGTTTTCTCATAGTTTCCACATATCCCGTTTCTGCAGCGAGATGAATTGGTTTGCGACCATGAAGATCTGGAGCATTTAAGTTGGCACCTGCTTCCAATATTATTTCCACGACCCGGTTATTTCCAGCTGCAGACGCTTTGTGCAGAGCAGTCATGTAATCATCAAATTTGGCTGAAATATTTGCTCCTAAATTCAAAAGGTATCTAACTTCAATCATACCCAGATCCTCATTGAGACTCCCAGCCGCATTGAATAGGTCCTTGTCGATGTCTTGGAAGTAAGTCGGCTTGTTGCCAGCAATGGTTCCCACATATTCTGGCTTTTCGTTGTCAAACTTTCGGAAAACCAAACGACTTGTTACTCTAGATGGAGCTGACGGGACATGTATTTTAGGATTGGCCATGCTTTCCGCTAGAGGAAATCCTTTCTTGAATTCACCAAATTTGGATAAAATGTTGTTGAATTTATATTGGATTGCATAGCTCACTGTCCTTCCTGGTTTCCAGGGTCCATGGATGGCACTGCCTTTTAAAGATGGAAACTCGGGCTTTCTCTGTATCGTTGCTGGTTCGGTTTGAAGAGTCTTCAAGGCAGCGTCAAGGATCATTATTCCCTTCCTCAATGCTTCTAGGTTTTTGCGTCGTTTTGAAAACAACATATCCCCATCTACAAATCTGGTTGTTTGGACTTGAAGAAGAATGTTTAAAACTTGATTAATTATGCCATTATTCAGTGACCTCTTGAAATCATTGTATCTGACATTGATCAATGTTATATGATAATGAAATTGTTGTTGTAAGTAGAGAAACATTATTACTAGTCGTTCCTTGCTCATCCGAAGGTACTCTTTACGTTCCTGACTCTGTATCCAAACTCACGGTCACTTCTCTCGTAGGTCTCGTTAGTTTCGGTAAAGCAGATCAGAGTTCTTAGGAATAGCCAGACCTTGATTAATGATGTCTGAGAGAAGGGAGTGAAGACTGTTGACGCCCCGTGGTGTCCTGGACTCTGCCAGGTAAAACAGGAATCCATTTGGTTCTTGAAGCTTTGCCAAAATTTGCTTCCTGTTGGATGATTTGATTCCCTCCAATTCACCATTGAAATATTCTAAAAATGTTGTTAGCTTGGATAGTATAGGCCCCACCTTGCTTTTATCAATGGCTCTCAAAATGGTTTGCTTGGCGTCATCGATTGCACTGATTGTTTCATTAGTGGATTCTCTGATGAGGTTGGCAGTTGATGTATAGAAAAGCATACGCTCAGCCATTGCTTGTGCTTGATTGCGAATCACAGTGTCTCCGATTTGGTTGATCAAGTTTTTCGTCATTTCGAAGTTTTTCAAATTTTCGACACGGCCAGCATTTGTCGATTCAAAGTTTCTGTCCAGGAGTTTATAAGCGATATTAAACCTCTGCCTCACTTCTAGTCGAGCTTTTGTGATCGCTATAAGATTTCTGTCAGCCTGTTTTGACAGGAAGGAGAATCCTTTAAGGGTATCATCCCTTAGTTCGGCAACAGATCCCTCAATGACTTTGAAATTCATCAGGTTTTCCCATTGACCCTGGGTGATGAGGTCTTGTGTGATGCCAAAGTTGATCAGGTTCTCTTTCCTTCCTTTATGGATTAGTCCTTGAGTTACCTTGAAATTGAATTGGTTCTCTTCCCTCCCTCGACTTATAAGACTTCTTGTAATGGCAAAGTTATCTTGGTTTTCTTCTCTCCCCTGATCGATGAGTCCTAGGGTCAGGGCAAAATTCATCAGGTTTTCATGTTTTCCTTCTTTGATCAAGCCCTGAGTTTCCTTGAAGTTGATGAAATTTTCCACTCTTCCCTGATTTATCAACCCTTTGGCCTTTTGAAAGTTAATCTCGTTCTCAACCCTTCCTTGATTGACAAGACCCTGAGTTCTGACGAAGCTCAATAAGTTTTCTTGCCTTCCTTGCTGTATGAAAGCGCGGTTGATGCCGAAGTTGATGTTATTCTCAACTCTGCCCAGGTCGATCAAGGCCCTGCTGATTTGGAAGTTTATCTGATTTTCTTGCCTTGAGACTTGCACGAGATCTTGAGTTATCCGATGGTTGATTTTATTCTCCTCTCGGCCGAGTTGGACGTTATTTCCCACGTCATCAATTTTACGACTTACGTCTTCCAACTTGCTTTGGACGCCATTCAATGCCTCTGCAATAACTTCTGAGTCATAGCAGCCATTGCTGCTGGATTCTTCCCCTCCAAATATGGCCCCGCCAACAAATCCTAAGAGTCCTCCAATAGTTGCCCCAACTGGACCAAATAATGCCCCTGCTTTCGTACCTGTAAGGTAGTGAGCCTTCATAATTATTGATATTTCCAATGAAACACATGTTTCATGAAGGATTCACAAAAATTTGAGATATCTTTCTTTTCCGCAATCAGATGGAAATATGGAAATTATAATTCAGAATTTTCTAAGCCAGAGAACTTGCGGGATGGCATTCATTAACCCTTTCGTGCCTGGATTTTTTAGATAAAGGAACCTACCCCAAATTCACCCAGAGGATAAAAAATGCGCTCTCACGAGACGTTTACTAGACTCACACTGATAAAATGAGGCTGTTGTCATCATAATCTTGCTTGCGAGGTCAGGTTTGATGAAACAATTTTTTCGATAGCTCGCAGGCAAGCATAGATGGTTTTTAAAAAAAAAATTCGTAAAGTCGATGATTCCCAACGGAACCATCCGGCATGAAAGGTTTGACAAACATCAAATAACAACATGCATGAAATTTTTGGACTTGATGCTGGCACTCACCCAAGCCAACTCCAGTCCCAATGGCGTTAAAACCGCTTCCCCCTTCGCAAGAGGCGGAACGCTGTGTTCTACCACGGACATCGCCGTGTTCCATGGGTTTGCCGCCGATGAGGTCCATCCACGGAATCGAATCGGTCTGGTCGTCAAACTCTTGCATTGAATTTCCTTGATAATTGCCGCTACCAGTCTGCAAATCATAATCTTCCTGGCTCCCCTGACCCCTATCGCTGAAGGGGAAATGAGGCTCACGCCCATTTGAAAACTGCGCGCCAGCGACGAGCAGGAGATTCAATACTAGTGCAATTTTCAGTGGCTCACGCATGGCGTCTGAGGATCGACTCGAGAAGGGAATCGAGAAACTGTTCTGTAATAAAAATGAAACCCAAGACTCAGCTTTGAGCTCTAGCGTGTTGGTTCAATGCATTATTAGGCAGAATGGAAAAAAATTTCAAAGAAAACAGAATGGGATCGACGTTCATATGTAAAACCATCATATAACATGTGAAAACGATCGTTCATTTTTTCCAGCGCTTAAATACTGCACATTACCGCAATTCACGGGGATTTGCGCCATTCTTGGGCCGAAGGACTCGAAAGTTAATAACTGGTGGTAATGCGCATTTGCTATTTATTTCTATTTAGCCAAGTCTTCTTACATATTTAGAATATATAAGAAGACTTGACTATGTATCTCATACCTCATGCATGCTGAAACGTCTCGATATCTTTCGTCCCATGCACTCTCATGACGGCATCGTAATTGCAGTAAGCTGGAAGAAAATTCAGTAAAAAAATTGGAGAAACTATGACCCATGGCCGGGAGGATTGATTAGTTTCTGTTTATTTATGGTACGGACACAATACCAGTACGAATTTAACCGTTTTCGTATTCTCAATCAATCAAACTTTACTGCCCGTTTGCTGGTTAGGCTTTCGGCTGCAAGGTGGGATACGGGAAAAAGTACATCTCATACTACTAATAATAGACGATAGCAAAGAAATTTCATACTTAAAACACATTTTAAGAAGTACTGATTGACATTTACCGTACAAGGATTCGGCAAGGCATGCAAACTACAACATTGAGTCAAAAGACTTTATAATTTCATATTTCAATATTCCATGGGGCAGGGCATAATATGCGAAGAGGGTACAGAAAAAATCAAAAAGTCGAAATAAAAAATTCAGAAAGAGGGATTGGGAATTCCGACCATCGCCAGTTATATCGCCTCGATGTTAACGCAAGTAGCATGCCTCTTGGTATCACGCCGAAAGTCCATGCTTAACTAAAGGACATACAACGTCGAACGGTTTTTTCGTCCTTGACCATTATGACCAGATAATTACTCACAGCCTCGTATGACAGAGGCGTTATGCAGATCAAGAAGACACCAAAAAAAGTAGATGTTCCCTGGAATCCTGGAGTGTACTTAGGGGACACGTGTTCGCCCCATGGATCACTAAGTAAGAGAACTTCCAGGCTTGCGTGACCAATCTGAGTAAGGCACCTGCTTTTTTGTCAAGGTCAGTGATACTTGAACGTTTCAATCCAAGCTCTAGTGCCATTTTTAGCTGGTCAAGAGAAGGTGTTGTTTCTAATTGAGTCCGCCATTCAGTCTCTGCTTGTATCTGACTTGAACGAAACATTATTCTTATGAAGGACTTGGTGGGAGGGCCAAAGTGCCAAATATAAAAATATCCAAATTCCTGGCAGAAAGCTCTGATTGACCGCAGCCAGCAATCGTTACCTTTTAGCATAATTTTGTACCGTTCGCTCAGGGCGGATTCAATCAGAGACCCTTTGGGCGCCTTTCTGAGTTCCAACCATAATCCTAGCCGACGTTTCCCTGCCAACACTCTCATAGAAGGCGGTGCATAGAGTGACAGGATTAGAGTATTGGAAATTGAGAGAGGCAGTCCTAGGAGTCCCTTCAGGAAGCAAGCAGATATAGCGTCGAGGTACCTCATATCAGGAAGCCATGCTAATTCTGCGCCGTACGAAAGGGTTGTTGCGACTATCATACCCCTTATCTGGGTAGCCTTTTGGATAGATGAATAAAAAATCAGTTATTAGCACTTTTTTAATATTTATGTTTCACATGACCACCTTCCAAATTGATACGTAACTGGAATCGATCCGTTGTTTCCCTGAACATTGAGGATGTTTACAGTGTCAATATGATCTCAGAGATAAGATCTATTAAATCTTCAGCATTGAGAAGCTTTGTGATGTAAATCTTTGACTTAATGTACGCCACACAAAAAAATCCAAGCTGGTTATGTCAGGTTATCCTTAAGACAACATTCTGATCGATTCTCGGCTAATCCAATGGTTCGCGACCTTCTCACTAATCTAGAACAATGTTCGCAAATTGAAATTTGGCCTTCAAGATCCCCTGAGCTTTGACTATGTATATACCCAATTGCCTGAAGGGCAAACAAATTGCCATGAATGCGGCTTCAGGAATGTGCACTCCATAAAAAAAATTTTTGACAATACTTTTGAAGTATCCCTTTTCGATTCCCATGCCTGCGAATTGGGATTTGAGGAAGCTAGTAATAATCAAAAATAACACCCGAATTAGATGAGGACGAACACAATTCACTAAAGGTTGGACTACAGTCCTTGTAATTAAAGAATTAATTCTCTGGGAATTAAAGGAGTCTTAAAAGAGACCCTTAATTTCCTCAGTTAATTCTCTGGGAATTAAAGGAGTCTTAACAGTAGAATCTCAAATAGGAGTTAAATCTCGGAAGTTATCGTTCTGTTCTTAGGCGAAAGAGACTCCCTTTAACACGTCCAAATAAGTAAGAGGGGTCCCTTAAAGAATTACCTATAGGAAGGTGGCAAAAAATTATGTTTGTACCCCCAGGGCGTGTACCTCCTAAGTCGGATTTTTTCTGAATTCTGCATCCCAAATGGTACATGTGTACCAAGTTTCAGATTTCTAACTTCTCTAGAACATTGTTGGAATTAGCGTCAGTCACTCAGTCACTTACGATCGTCTCTCTCCCTCTCTCTCTCTAAAAGAAAGAAGTGAAAGAAATTATTTGGAGCCGAAATTGTCCGAAACCACCCGAGGGCAGCAGAAAATGTCCAACCTTCGGAGCCAGAAGCGCGGAGATGAGAGTCCGAACTATCAGAGACAGCCTCTTAAGGGTGAAGCGAAAGGGTTAACCCTTTCGCTGTTAAAAAAAAAGGCCTCATACACTGTGTTATAAGAATTGAGCTGTGTCTCTGCGAAACAATGGTTTAAGTTTAAATTGTCCCGTCTTGAAAACTACTGATGATAGACCAAAATGTGTTAACAAATTTATTGCTAGGAAAAGCCAGAGTGTTATCAGAAAAGTGCACGAATTTTGAGATGCGTATAAATCCATTGACGGACTTGATTTTATCAAAAGCAAGGAAAATAAATAGTTTATCAGTTTCCAGAGACACTGAATAGAAGGCCGTATTGTAATGCTAATTAAAATCAGTGCCAAAATAAATGTACGAAATTCCCATACAGATTGGTTTCTCCTTTGTTTTACCCTTGAATATTCATTTAGTGTTGTGTTAAAAATAAGGTCTGATGCAAATGTATACCTGTATGTTTCTCTTATTTCATGTTCAAGGTGGTTCCCGCGCGCATATCTTGCGAGGAACATATAAATTGACCTGGGTCACCTGTGAAAATTCGTTCGGAATCGTCTATCGCAGGGAGATTGGAATATTCAATTTCAGCCCAGGATTTCCTGTAAAAGTCAAGAAATGAGTTGCATGGGGATTCTTGCTAAACTCAGGTGCATTAACAGTTTTTCGCCCTCATGGCTCTATTCCTGCTTGCATCTCCACTCCCATCAGTCTAATTTTCATCTTCTTAAGTTTTGAGATTCAACTTCCGTTTCTATATCACCTTCATTTTCACTACTAGCATAGTAAATGTCACAATTAGTATTTAAAATTATATTTATTTCATAATCATCTAACTCAAAAATGAGTCCGTAGGAAGCCATTTTTTACAGAATGGGTCGATAAAGATACACACTTTATTTTTTTATTATTCAATGCTTCCGAAAGTCATATACATCGACAAAAGAATCCTTGTTATATAGAAAATGATGTGTTTTTTTTTAAATACCGAATGTACGTCGGTTACATCCATACATACAAGAAAAACAACCTAAAAGGACTTGGTCTCATCGCCCGAGTACGTACTCGGGTCAACAGCGAAAGACTTAAGGAAGATTAAAATTGAAGGGACAGCGAAGGATCCTATCCGAGAAATTTGTCGGGGAGCCTGCGTCGTCAGGGGGTTGAGGCCACAAGTCTGACTCGCAAATCCTATCTAGAGACGCCATGAGAAACTTTGGATGACTAAATGTCTCGTCCAAGGATAATCCTTGGATATGTCCATTGGATGTCATTTTTCACACGTGGCCACATGCACGTGGCCCCAATGGCAGATGGAGATTTCATTCATACGATTCACAGGGTTTGGATTCCCTAGTTCCAACACCCCCCTCCCCCTCCCCCTCATCCCTCTTACCACCAACCTCCGTCATGTTCCTATTTTCATTTTTCAACTGTGGTTAAACCAGAATGTCCATTTCACAGACCACAAAGCTTTTTAAGTAAAAAAAAAAGAGAATGTGAACATGGTCTAGAGGGGAGGGGGGGGGGGGAGGCAGCCGCCACCCTTCCCCTCCTCGAATCTGCAATTGGCTGGCCATGTGAGAAGACAGGGCAGAACACTCCTACCTTTTCGTAGGTCTGCCCTTGCGCTTTGTTAATCATCATGGCAAATGCAGAGGGGACGGGAACTGACGCCGAGTGAAAGGCAGCCCAAATATTAAGGTGTTGACTTTGAATCGTCGCATTGTAAACATGCTAAGGACCACAGTAGATTTTATCATGTAGAAATACAGGAACCGGTGAAAACTCTGCGTTACTCCATTTAAAATAAAATCTCGGTTACGAAACGAATAGATGCTGCCTGGAATGCTTCGATGCTCGGATCGCTCGCACTAAAACATAGACGGAGAGAAAAGGCGTCGGTTCGTACGCAAGTACGTGATTTCTTCTTAGGGTTTAGGTATCGAAGATCGAACGTTTTTAGAGATCGCTTAGCCTTGGATCCGCGAATGGGATCGGTCTCTGGAGAGAGAGCGAAAGATCGGACTCACGAGTACGCGATGAAGTGGGATGGGTTTTCACTTTCGGCGGAGAGGGAGACAGTGGAAAGTTTAGATTGAGTGAGAGAAGGGACGGGAGAGAGAGAGAGAGAGAGATGAAGGCGGTAAATATTGTCGCGGGGCTTCGCGGAAGCACTCCCTGCCGTTCCCCCGCGATCAAGGCTTTCCGCGAAGAAGCGGCATTCAACCCGATGGTCCCTGTCCCTGTCACGTCCCGTCGCGTCTGGGACGTGTCCCGTCCCGTCGCGTCTGGGACGTGTCCCGTCCCGTCGCGTCTGGGATGTGTCCCGACGAGTCGCCCGATAAACAATCGATCTCACGGAAACAGGATTTTTCAAAAAGGCAGTGAAATTTCGCTGGAATATGAACGTCTTCACGACCCAAATTTTCTTTCTTCCCTTCCTTGGAGGCGATTCGTGGCGACTTCCTGCACTACCCCGAACGTTCGCCGAATCCAAAAGTTTTTCTTCTGCGATGAATTACGGATGACCCACGCGATCGTCGAAGAGCGTGGAGGGCAGTGGAAGGATCTCCGAGGATCTAGGAACGTCCTCGCTTTCGGTTTTTCTCGGTCGGTTTCGCAGCGGGAGTGAGGCAGCCGAGCCCTTTCCTTCCGTTCCTCATTCGACTAGGGTAAACACCCCAGTTTTTGGCCACTAATGTCCCAGTTTTTGGCCACTAATGCCCCAGTTTTTGGCCACTAATGTCCCAGTTTTTGGCCACTAATGCCCAGTTTTTGGCCACTAATGCCCAGTTTTTGGCCACGCTGATACGACTCCCATGGGAAGTGGACACCCTGTGCGCAAACTGGGAAACACTAGTAATAGGTCCTCGTACGGGAAGATGTTGATAGAATGCTTGAAACGACCAGATTAACTAATTATTCTGTACTTAAGCCTCACTGTCCAACAACTGCAGACCGACCGGAAACCGCGGTGCTTACCCTACATCATCGACCGGTTCGAAAATTCTGGGGAGGAGGTTAGACGACGGAGGTCGGAGGGGAAGGGATCGCCCGGACGGAAATTCCGTGGGATCGCTCGCTTGTAGCTCCGAGGATAAACTGGAATGGGGATTCCGTTTCCTGGAGTTTCACGCGTTACGGAAGGCGGGCGAGATGAAATTTTCTTTTGAGTTCTGGCGTTGCACAGCGACGAAAATCCGGAACTGCCGAATCGAGTTGGGTAGCTCGACGATCGAATCTTGTGAGGAAAAAAAAATGCAAAAACGATGTGACGAGAACGACCCAGCCCCAGGAGAATCCTAGCGTATTTTCAACCGTGTAATCGAATGAGATTACCCGCTTCGAAAGGAAAAGTCGAGGCAGATGTAACAGCGTAGAAGACCGGATCAAGGCGAGAGTGGGGGAGGGGGGGGGGGAGGGGAATATTCAAGGTCACTCCGCATGCCGCCTGCACACGTTCTCTCTTTATTACTCATCGGGGATGCAAGACATGATCTGCAATCGACAACGTCCCCCTCATCCCCTGGGTATGCGAGAGTCTTTCCTGCGAAACGATTTCTCGAAACGATTTCTCCGCTTTCGATTCTTGGACGAGTCTTCACCGGTCGCGTAAGAGAGGGAGATTCCTCGTTCCGATCCCGATCCAATTCGTTTTGAAGGAAGTTACCTGACGAGAGTAATTTCCAAAAACAGGAAATGTGTATGCTAACAATATTTCCACTTCATGTTCTTTCAAATGTTTGGTATCTTGAATTAGTACTATGCAAATCAAGCAATCCATTAGCGAGTCAAATGTGTCCATGAATAAATAATCACACTGTATAGGGTAAGTGCTTCGAATGTCGGCACTGGGGGTAATCTCGGCACTTTGCAACTGTCAAAGTTCTGCTTCCACTACCAGTGCCCTAGGCACGGGTAGATAAGTGTTCTCAGATGGTTGGACTAATGTTGTTACCATGTGTTTTGAACAGTCACATTTGCTATTGTAGTTCTCTCGCAGTGGCCACTTTCTCTAAGCGAAAATCCCGAAAATCCAGCGAAATCTCGTGATTTTGCTACGCTTTTTCTCATTCCGTTCTTCTCTTCCACACCAGATATTGTTTCATCTGGTCGTTGCATTCATTTTTGGATCTGTTATAAATGACAGTGATACATAAGTGTGTCGAGATTCCTGACAGGGTGGTGCCATCTATACTAGCAAGTGTGCCGAGATTGCCAACATCTGATCCAACTTCACCTTTGACCCACGCCCTCGGAAATGAAAGGTCTGGGGCACTCAAGGTTTGCGGTATAAGAAGGTTTATAATAAAGGTATCACCAGACCCATTGTGAACGAGGAAGCTCCATTACGAAAACCAAGAAGCAAGGTGGAAGTGCAGAATTTGCTTAGAGTGCCGACATTCGCAGCACACACCCTATATGTTTGATAAATTTTCCTCGTTATGGGACTGGCTTATGTACACTCGGGTGCAAAAGTCTTTTCCCCCAGTATTTCATTAATTGAAATACTGCCTTCTGGCGCTACGGGAGAGGTGATCTTGAAGGACTTGGACGGAGCAAAAGGCCATCCATAATTCTCTGGAGCGAATGGCAGCCGACCAGGCCCATGCCCCAAAACTTCATGTTTTTGAAGAACTTGTTCAATGATCGAGATCTGGTCCTTAATTGGCTTGGCTTGACACTGAATTGTCTTCCCGATCTTGGTGTGTGTGTGACTATTGGCCGTAGGGAGTAAAAGGAAGTTGGTTTACAGCAGGGAACCCAGACCATTTAAGGACCTTATCACCATAATAGAACAGGTTTTCCAAATATTGTGAATCTGTCATATTTTTGTGTTTTTAGTGTTCATTTAATCACTTCATCTTCAGCAGAGCGCAGATGAAAATGTTATCGTAGCTCACGCATCCTTTCTGGGACACCCTGTAATGCGAAAAGAATCTGATCCTAGGGCCAATTCCAGCGATGTTCGAGATTAATAGATCTCGGTACCCAGCAAACATTCAAACATTCAATCAGCGTTGCATCAACGTTAATTTCAAACCTTCCCATCGTTTGGTTGGCGGTGCAGTTAACATTAAGTCACTATTGCAATGTCGCTTATCGGAACACTCAGATGAGCGTTGAAATTCAACACTGGCTGAACGTTGAGCCAACATTGCAATGTCATTTATTTGAACGCTCACTCCCACCCTTAGAGCATCCCAATATTTGATCAATAATGAAGGCAATGGACTATATATTGTTCTAGAAGTACTAATCTTCGTACTTTCCAGGGAACGGATCTCCCTTTTCTGCTCTGTGGAGTACTGAAAACCTCCTTTCCTTCGCTGGGGGCAGAATGGTCATTCTACCTCCCAATAACGAAGGACGGAGCCATTGTACATAATCGAGTTCGCAGAAGCTCATTTTCAAGTATCTGTACACCTTTTTTTTGCAAATTAGGAGCTAAAGGTATGGTAGGCCCCGCTGTCATGTGGTGGACCGACACATGACTCTCACCCACCATTGTAAGATCCTCCCAATAGAGGGCTGGCAGAGAGCAAGACCCTCTGGAAGCTAATGACTTAGCCTTAAGGTGATTCATGGCTATGGGGGAAAAGTCAGCCCGAGAGAGAGCTGTTTCCCCCCAGGATCTCTCCCTTGAGTTTTTTTATCTTTAGATGTTTAATTAAAGAGTAAGGAACTATGCGGCCTTATTTCGAAAGCAACCTGAATTTATTTAGGTTAGTATCAGTGTTTTGGGACGCTTAGTATTTAGGTCCA